ATCACTGGGCCATCACCTCCCCGACTGCAGAGACACAGTGATGTGGGTGACTCTTATTTAGAGATGGGCACTAAATTTTGCCCCCAGCCAGCAACGTCCACATCCCATGAACAAATTTTTTTAAAAAGTAGACAAAATTCTGAAGGGGCTTGATAGGAGAGCCCCTGAGAGAATATTTCCTCCTATCCAGGGGAGCTAGAAAGCCGGATACAGAAGCTGACCAGATATTCTAAATTAATTGAGTCCCATTTGCCAGCATTTGGCCCATATCCCTCTAAACCCTTCCTATTCATGCCCCCATCCAGATGCCTTTTAAACGTTGTCATTGTACCAGCCTCCACCACTTCCTCTGGCAGCTTATTCCATACATGCACCACCCTCTCTGTGAAAAAGTTGCCCCTCCGGTCCTTTTTAAATCTTCCCCCTCTCATCTTAAACCAATGCCCTCTAGTTTTGGACTCCTCTACCCTGGGGAAAAGACCTTGGCTATTCATCTTTTCCATGCCCCTCATGATTTTGTAAACCTCTATAAGGTCACCCCTCAGCCTCTGACGCTCCAGGGAAAATAGCCCCAGCCTGTTCAGCCTTTCCCTGTAGCTCAAACCCTCCAGCCCCAGCAACATTCTTGTAAATACTTAGCGATACCAAAATCTGCAGATAGTGGAGTCAGAGACAGCACAGTGTGGAGCTGGAGAAATACAGCAGCTCAGGCGGCATCAGAGGAGCAGGAAAGCTGACGTCCTGGGTCGGGACCCTTCTTCAGAAATGGGTCCCAACCCGAAACTTCAACTGTCCTGCTCCTCTGATGCCGCCTGACCTGCTGTGTTCCTCCAGCTCCACACTGTGTTATCTCAACGTTCTTGTAAATCTTCCCAGGATCCTTTCAAATTTCACAATCTCTTTCCGATAGCAGGGAGAACAGAACTGAACGTAGTATTCCAAAAGTAGCCTAACTAATGTCCTGTACAGCTGCAACTCCCAACTCCTATACTCAATGTACTGACCAATAAAGGCAAGCGTACCAAATGCCTTCTTCGCTAACTGCGACTCCACTTTCAAGGAACTATGAACCTACACTGCAAGGTGTCTTTGTTTAGCAATACTCTCCAGGACCCTGCCATTAAGTGAATAAAGTCCTGCCCTGATTTGCCTTTCCAAAATGCAGCATTTCACACTTATCTAGATTAAACTCCAACTGTCACTCCTCGGCCAATCAGATTGTACGCTGAGGTAATCTCCTTCGCTGTCCACTACACCTCCAACTTTAGTGTCACCTACAAACTTACTAACCATCCCTCCTGTATCCACCACCAAATAGTTTACACAAATGATGAAAAAACAGTGCAGCCAGCACCGATCCCTGTGGCACACCCCTGGTCACAGGCCTTGGAAGGTCACCCCACCTCCCCCCGCCCAATACAAACCCAAAGAGGAAGGTCGACAACAGTTGCATCACAATTGTGGTCAGAATGTTGCAAACGGAAGCATTTTTTGCTTCGGACAGTTAGTAGCGGTTAGTGATGGGCAGGGCAGAAACTGCCAAGACTGTCAACAACTGAAACAACAAGGTGCAGGGCTGGATGAACACAGCAGGCCAAGCAGCATCATAGGAGCAGAGAGGCTGACGTTTCGGGCCTAGACCCAACAACTGAAATCTGGTTTGAGCGGAGGTTTTTATGGGGGAGATCCCACTTAAACAAGCTTGGAAATAATCCCTTTTCTCACCAACCCTCCTGCCCTCGCAACTCTCCCTGCTGCCCCCC